TGTGTTTCCTCGTGGCAGTCCTCCTTCCACCGTAACCGGCGGTGGGAAACAGCTCTGGCGAGGTTGCGTATTGGCCATACTCGCTTAACCCATGGTCACTTGATGGAGCGCCGCCCTGCTCCTTATTGTCCTAGTTGCATTGTCCCTCTTACGGTCGTGCATGTCCTTCTTGAATGTCCTGACTTCCAGGACGAGCGTATGTCTTGCTTTCCAACCGCCCCTCGCGGTCACCTGTCCCTCGATAGAATTCTTGGTGACTCGGATACTTTTGATATCGTTCGCCTTATGCGTTTTTGTTCTCGTATTGGCATCCTTGGTGATATTTAGCGCCCTCTGATTATTTTGCGTCTTTGATGGTGCTACATAGCCTTCCTGGTTTGGTGCCTTCTTTTGATAATTACTTACTTACTTACGAAATGAATGGTATGTTAAACAACACAGCTCAATTCCAACTGAATGTCACACAAAATAATTCAATAAAAAAATAAAAAATATCGAAATCTATGAAAATAAAACTTATCAATGCAATCTGAAACATTGAAATGGAATTTGTGACATATTTAGTATAGCATGCATGTTGCCATTATGTGCAACAGATGGCGCTGTTTTTCAAAAACCTATGTTTTTACCTGTCACAGGGGTGTCATCTATGGAGTAGGTATATAAAAAGACGCGCCGATTCGAATGCAGTGTTGTGTCAAAATTTCAAAGCAATCGGTAAAGAGGTTTCAAAGATTTTCCTCACATGGAAAAACACAGTTTTTCAGAAAAAGCATGTTTTTTTTTACCGTCATAGACGTGACATCTATATAGTATGCATATAAAAACCTGGCTGGATGCGAATGGAACGTTGTGTGAAAATTTCAAAGCAATCGGTGAAGAACTTTCGGAGATTAGCGATTTTGAACAAACGAACATTTCCATTTTTATTTATATAGATTTTAGTTTTGTTTTATTAGTTTTATAAAACTGTAATATTAATATAGTTATAGGTTAAGTACTAATTGTAATTAAGAAGCAATAAAATTATTATCTTCAAAAACTAAGACGGTTAGGTGAGGTTGTGGTTTTCTATTCAGTTTTTCAGGTAAACTCAAATATTCACAATATATTTGACAGTACGATTTAATACTAAGTGAAAATAAGTACAATTCCTAACTGCTATGAATAGTAAATATTTGCAATTATTTGTCTTCTTACATTTTTGGAGGACGGGCTGAATATTTACCCTGTCAGGTGGCTCGCTTCGTGTCCTCACCAGTCTACTCTAATCTATATTACTGGCCAGAAATAACTAGATTTAATGGGTTATCGGGTACAGAGCACTTCCCTTATTGTTGACGAAGATCGTGCTGATGATGGGAGATTTGTTCATCCCGTAACACTGCATCAGTAGAGAAATAATTGTGGAGCTTCATGAGTACTCCAAGCGAGGCACTGTTGATGTTTTGTTAATGTTGTATGTTCCATCCCGGCGTGAGATACTCGCTTCACGCCGGTCCCTAGTTCATCATTATCGACTTAGGAAGGAAGACTATGTATTTGTTGGTTATTTAAATAAATTCAGTCCTGGAGAACACTTTTTTATCATATTTAATCTCCAGGCTTCGAGATTTAAAGATGCGTGTTATACCTGAATGAATATTTGATGACGTGGTAAACATCCCATTTTCTTTGAACGGTCACGAAATCCATTCTCTGAGATAGAGTTAGTAAATTAGTAAAGTTAGTTTGTTTCTGTCATAACCGTTTTTGCTCGGTATGCCAGGCGTTAGTAATTTGGTGTCAAAATTTTTGACACGTCTGTCTACCCTTCTATCTATCTACTTACCTATCCATCCTTCCAGCTATCAGGTCTATATCCAACCGTCCATCTATCAGGCCATATATCCATCCATCAATCTATTTTTCCACCTAGTTATCTAACTATCCATGTATCTGTCTATCAATCCAACTTTCTATCTATGTATTAATCTATCAATCTATTCATCCATTTTTACTTAATCCATTTTCACTCAGTCCATTCATCCATCTATTTTTGCAACATGTCATCCATCTATACATCTATTTTCGCTCAATCCATCCATCTATCGACCTATTTATTCATCTATCTACCCATCAATTAATTCATCTATTCAACAGAGTACCAATCAATCCATTCATCTATCTGTCTATCCATTCATCTATCTTTCAGTCTTTTCATCAATCCATCTATCTTCTCATCTATCTGTTCACCTATCAATCTCTTTTTCTGTTTGCATCTTCCTGTCTGTCTCTGTCTTTAAATAAGTAAAAATATAGCTTATTTAAAAATATTCTAAGCTAACCAAAGAAACGTAGTATACAATACAACTTGAATAGCTTGAATAATAATGACCCGAAATGGATAACAAAGTATCTGAAGAACCTTATAGGTAGAAAGAGGTTTTGGTACAAAAGGATTAAGAATGGGGAAGTCAATTTAGAACAAGAATTCGTTCAACTGGTTAGAAATGTTAAAAAAAAAAAAGATAAGAGGGGCAAATGAAACTATGAAGTTCGCATAGCAGGGCAAGCAAAGGCAAATCCTAAAGGGTTTTTCAATTATATCGAACAAAGATTAGGGAAAGGATAGGTCCCTTAAAAACTAAGACAGGTCAGATAACTGATAATGACGATGAAATGAGTAGTGTTTTTAATAAATATTTTATCTCTGTGTTTACTAAAGAAGAACTTAACATTATGCCTTAAGCCAAACAAGTCTATGTTGGTGGGGAAGAGGACAGATTGACTAGTTTAGCAGTTACCAGGGAGGATGTTATTAAACAAATAGTGAAACTCAAGCCAAACAAATCCCCAGGGCCAGATGAGATGTTTGCCAGGGTGCTTAAAGAATGCAAAGAGAAGCTTTGCGAGCCACTGTCTACCATATTTAATAAATCATTAGAGTCAGGCATAGTGCCAGAGTAGTGGAAGATTGCTAATGTGGTATAAATTGTCAAGAAAGAAAATAGATCACTTGCCTCTATCGGCCAGTGAGCTTAACCATTGCACTGCTCACCTGATTTCGCCAAAAACTTCATAGAGCAATTGTCAAGGACATATTTTTGTTGTTTTTATAAATGCTCAGGTAAAGTTAATGTCAAAATGTTTCCAAACTCAACCATTTTCACTTCAAAACACAAAGAATGATGAAAACATTATAAAAAATAAAATATATCCTAATTAAAAAAGAAATAGCACAACTCTCAGAGCTCCTTAGGGCACTCTGCGCAGTACTTAACGTCTATTGTTGCTCGAATCGATAAATGCAAAAGCCATTCGTCTTCATCTTGAAAAACATAGCTTAATAAATGATTTACAACATGGTTTTACTAATGGCTGTACATGTTTAACAAATTTTCTATCATTTTAATCCTGCATAGTTGAGGAAGTTGATAGTGGTAAGGTTTGTGATGTTGTGTACCTTGACTTTAGTAAAGCTTTTGATACAGTGCCACATGTAAGATTGATTAAAAAGTTAGAGGCTCACGGTATTGGGGGTACTATATTAAGTTGGATTAGGGCATGGCTATACCAAAGGAAACAAAGAGTTAGTATAAATGGAGTTAAGTCAGAGTGGGAAAGTGTTGTAAGTGGAGTGCCTAAAGGCTCTGTCTTGGGCCTCTTTTATTCATAATATATATAAATGATTTAGATTCAGATTTGAGCAGCAATATTTGTAAATTTACCGATGATACAAAAATCGGGAGGGAGATAAACACAGCAAAATACTCACTATCACTACAAGACGATCTAAAAAGGGTTTTGAAATGGTCAAAAATATTAGCAGATGAAGTTTAATGCTGACAAAGGTAAGATTTTGAGGTTAGAAGCCAAGTGTGGATGATAGAGTTACAAGATATGAGCTAGATGGTGTTGAGATTGCGAAGTCAAATTGCGAAAGGGATCTGGGAGTTATGATTAGTAGGAATTTAAAACAAAAAATCAATGTTTAATGTTCGTTATAAAGCAAATAGGACACTGGGATTTATTTATCGAAGCGTTTGTAATAAAACACCTGGTGTTGTTCTTCAGCTATATCTTGCTCTGGTTAGGCCCCATTTAGATTCTGCAGTTCAGTTTTGGTCGCCATACTATAGAAGTGATATAAATTCTAGAATGCGTCCAGCGTAGGATGACAAAGTTAATCCCCCAAATTAGAAACCTGTCATATGAAGAGAGATTGACAAAGCTTAATTTACTTTCTTTAGAAAGGGAGAATTTACAGGGAGCTCCGATTGTGTCTTGGTGTTAATAATGGAAGGGATGGCGAGGGAACTGGTGCTAGTGAGGGAGCTTTTTGGAGCTCTGAGGACAGATCTGGATTCCCTGCGGCAGGAGCTAAGGCAGACGAAACAACGTCAAGAGGAAGCAAAGGAGGAGAGCAGCATCAGAAAGTCTTTGTCTTGGAATGTCTCAAAGGACAAGGATCTTAAGACGACTCTGACAACGCCGCCTACAGCTGTCCTACAGATCTCCAACTCATTCGCCGTGCTGGAAGACGAGTGCTGTAGGGAGACTGCAGTTCACTCGAACCGCAAGGCAACGAAGGGAGCGCAGGTCTTTCAAGCTGCTCACAAAGTAAAGGAAGTTGCTAAGCAAATTTTGGTTGTGGGAGAGTCCCAGGTGAGGTATTTGAATAGAGCATGTTGTGCCAGAGATAAGTTAATATCAGGTTAATATCAGAGATAACAGGTTAAGGATATGCTATCCAGGACCAGGAACTGGTGATATTGGAAACAACTTGAATGATATTTTGGCTGGAAATGGGAACAAACCCATTATTTGTATCAGTGCCGGTGGAAATGATGTAGGATGAGTTAGGAGTGAGGCACTGATACAGAGGTTTAAGACATAAATTATTTAATGGAGTTATTGAAGTACTTTGAGTGACTTAGTGAGACAAAGTTCATTAGGTGAATCAGAGCAAAGTGAGAACAGTCCTGATTCTCAATCAGAACAAGTGAGAACTGTCTCACCTGTGTATCTTCCACCACCAGTGATGCTTGATCTGCGTGAAGGAGGCCTCGCGGTAGTGACCGTAGGAGTCCGGCCACACACGGTTCAGGCACTGGAGCTCCTCGCGTCTGTCGGAGATGCAACATGTTTACTTCGGACAGCAGCTGGGTGGATGTGGTGTGTGTGAGTGGATGTGGTGTGTGTGGGTGGGTGTGGTTTGTGTGGGTGGGTGTGGTGTGTGTGGGTGGATGTTGTGTGTGTGGGTGGATGTGATCCATCCGTGGGAGGGTGTGTGTGGGTGGGTGTGGTGTGTGTGGGTGGGTGTGGTGTGTGTGGGTGGATGTGATCCATCCGTGGGAGGGTGTGTGTGGGTGGGTGTGGTGTGTGTGGGTGGGTGTGGTGTGTGTGGGTGGATGTGATCCATCCGTGGGAGGGTGTGTGTGGGTGGGTGTGGTGTGTGTGGGTGGGTGTAGTGTGTGTGGGTGGGTGTGGTGTGTTTGGGTGGATGTGGTGTGTGTGGGTGGGTGTGATCGGGGTGAGTGGGTGTGTGTGTGGATGTGATCTGTATTGATGGGTGTGTTGATGGGTGTGTTGATGTGGGGTGTGTGTGGGTAAATGTGGTTGCAGTGTGGTGGGTGGATGTGTTCGGGGAGGGTGGGCGTGTGGGTGGTGGCACTGAACTCACTCACCCTGGATGTGGTCAGGGTGCTCTTCCATCTTCTGCTGTGTGGTTTCATCATCATATCTTCAGTCACGTTTTGTGACTCATCGTCTGTGTATGTATATATGCATGTGTGTGTGTGTGTATATGCATGTGTGTGTATGTATATATGCATGTGTGTATGTATGTATGTATGTGTATTATTACAGCATTACAAAAGGAAATCAACCCGTAAATAACCATTTACAGTTCAGAAAACTCTGTGATAATTTTTCACTCATTCAGCAGATAACAGGGGCCACTAGGAATGAAAATACTCTTGACATGATCTTCACGAACAATGAAAATATTATCCAAGGACGTTACAATCTCTCATACTTCATACTCAGATCACAAACTCATAAACGTTCAAACCATTATTAAGGCTCATAATATATTCAAAATCCTTAACAATCTGAAAGAAATATTCAATAAACTCAATCTCAACAATAGAACAATTGACTGGCGAGGAGTACAAAGTCTGCGTCAAATATAATCCTATTCAAAGGATAATAAAGAGAACTAATTAAGAAATATAATGCAATCAATGCAACAGTAGAAGAAAACTAATGATAGAAATGCTCATGCACAACAAAACTATGTAATTTAATCCTTAAGATGAAAGGAATAGAATAGAAGCCGAAGCAGTTATACCAGACTGTAGAAATTAAATTGGAACAGAAAGCTATACAAGAGATAAGAAAAATCCACAATACTTTTTCTCCTGAATTAGCAAAAAAAAAAATAAAACTATCAGTGTCAGACCTATGAAGGTTCATACTCGGAGGACGGGGAAGAAAACAGTGAAATCCTTATAGAACAGCTTTAGCAGCCAATGAGCACTAACTCTCACAATATAGCGGAGGTTCGAAATATAATATATTATTATTGTTAGAAAAGAACCAATCTGGAAAGAAATATTTGAAAATAACAAAAATCATTCTGCCTGTTAGGCACATCGGACCTTGCATACTAGGCCAAGAAGTGTAGTTCTTAGGCCACGAGGAAGATTTGAAGCCATGATGAGGATTCGAACCCGCATGCTTGGTACTCGCAAGCTTGCGTCCCAGCCCACCACACCACGACATGGTCAACAGCATGGCAACCTGGGCTTAAGAAGCAGCCTCCAACCTTCTCGTCAATACAACGTTGGAGGCTGCTTCTCACAGCCCTCACAAACCTCACTCATCCCTCACATTCCTCATTTCCCCATCACACATATCGCTCCCCCCTCACACACCTCACTCATCTTTCTCACACCTCACTCATCTTTCTCACACCTCACTCATCTTTCTCACACCTCACTCATCTTTCTCACACCTCACTCATCTTTCTCACACCTCACTCATCACCAATATATATCACTCTTTCCTGACACATGTCACTCTCTCTCCAAAGCTGTGCTGGCTGCACGGCCTTGGAGACAGACGGCTGACAGAATGGCACTCAACTGACTTGAGAGGAAAATGCCTAAACTGCACTATGATATGTATGCCTATAGAAGAGGGGTTGGCACCGTGGAATGTATTACAACTCTGTTAGCCCACTTGAATGACAGACCAGGAATGCTGATATTCTTGGACCTCGAGAAAGCTTTTGAACTGGCTAGCGCCCCAGCTATTCTCTGCTGCCTCATCGACCAAGAGGTCAAAAGTAACCTGCTCTCCCTGGACCAAAACCTGTCTTATAAACAGAGAAGCAAGAGTGAAAGTTCATGGCACAGTCTCTGAATACAAAAGAAATGAAAATGGTACACTGCAAGGAGGCATTCTCAGCCCTCTTCTCTTCAACTGTTTAATGGAAAGAATGATGAGGCTGAAACTCCCACAACACTGCAGGCTGCTAAACTACGCGGACGACTTTGTCATCATCATAAAAGGAAGGGATGCAGCACGCCTAGCACCCACATGCTTAAACTGCATAAGTTAAGAAGCAAAGCAGATTGGTATCAAACTCAACCCCACCAAGACAAAAGTCATGCCCATAAAAATAGCGAAGCCCAACATCCAACTCAGGATCAACAGGTCAACTCAGTACAGGGTCAACTTATTGAATGGGTGGAACCTTATCAGTATCTAGGAATAATCCTGGACACACACGTAAATTTAAATGCTGAGGTCACTTACTTAAGAGAGAGAACTGCGACCCAGACGGCAATCCTCAGGTCGCTAACCTTCCTCTCTGGAGGAGCCAATCTGCAAGTCCTTCGCACATACTATGTGCAGGCACTCAGATCAGTGATCGACTATGCCACACCTGAACTCACAAGCCTATCACAACAACAGTGGAAAAGGGTTGAAGTTGCCCAAAACAATGCTATGAGAGCTGCCCTGGGAGCCCCAATGTGGACCAGGCTTGAAACTCTAAGATTGGAAACGGGTTTGCCCTCTCTTCAAGAACGAATATCACAAAAACAGGAACGATTATCAGTAAGGTAACTAATTCCCCAGATTCAGTTTCAGTACGACAGGTCTTGGTGGTTGAACTTGGCCAAAACAACGGAAATCTTGGGCTGCCAGAGCGGGAAATGTGCTAAACAGACAACAATTAAAAAGCATGATTCTTGATAGAGGAGGAGACCAACCACCCTCAAACTACATTTGTTCTCCACCGTGGGAGGAGCCTACCTTCAAACTAGTAATTGAAAATCTTCCGATGAAAAAGGCTGCCTCTGATCCAACAATCCTAAGGAGCATCATAGAAAAACAAATGAGCAGCACTGCAGTAGCAGGAGCCACCCACATCTTCACTGACGGATCGGTTGACACAGAATATGAGAGTGCTGGCGCTGCTGCTCAACAAAGCCCGTCTACAACAAAGAGTAGCAGAAGAGGGTGAAGGATGATACCCTCTGCAATATGTTATTTTCAGCCCATTAAGTTAGAAAGGTTAAATATTCCAAAAGGAATCTTCAGGTAAATAGCAGTTCGGTTATATAGACCACGTCTAGGTTACAGATGGCAACAGGTACTCTGAGAGAGAACTCTATCAACATCAGAGGCCCGAGACTGTTCAACACGCTTCCACTACACATAAGGGGCATAACTGGCAAACCCCTCACAGTGTTCAAGAGAGAACTGGATAAGCACCTCCAAAGGATACCTGATCAACCAGGCTGTGACTCATACGTCAGGCTGCGAGCAGCCGCGTCTAACAGCCTGGTTGATCAGTCCAGCAACCAGGAGGCCTGGTCGACGACCGGGCCGCGGGGACACTAAGCCCCGGAAGCACCTCAAGGTAGCCTCAAGGTAAGGTAGGGAGATTGGTGAACTCCGACAGAAGGAATGCATCTTCTGCCAAACAGTCACAGAAAAAGTATTACTTCACTATCTCCTGGAATGTGAAGCAACCACCGATCTTAGAAGAGCTTTAAGAGTCCCTGAATCTTGCAGTAACCACCCTGAAGTCATCAACACTGCCACTGTTCTGGTCAAAAATGGTGTCCAGCAGTTGGAGACCCTCATAAATACTGTCAAGCAGTATCCTCCCCCGCGATAGCAGTCTGACGATTAAATGCGACCTCAGCGCCCAGTATGCATTTACTTAAAAAAAAATCTACCACGTATGGGCTATTCATGCCCGTGCCCGTGCCCATTGGCTTAATCTTCATCAATCAATTATCACATGTCACTCATCCCTCACAAACCGCATATGGTTATTTTAGTATCCAATGTATAAATGTTTTGTTATACTATGTTAGGTCTTATAGAAATATATTTTGTCTCCAGCAGCTGCTGAGGCACATTCCCCTGATACCATCAACACATATTTCACGATACAAAACTTCTCATAACTTTCCCATTAGCAGCCCTCACAACGACGCTAAACAGAAGCTATACAATACAAGAATGGTGTCTCACTCTCCTCCTATCCTCCTTCCTTCACCCTTTGTCTCCATATCGTCCTTCGTCCACTCCTCTGTATTGTTAACTTCCTTCCTCTAACTCATCTCTCTCTATCTTCATCCCTTCATCCTCTGTTTCTCTGCCCACCCCACTCCCACCATCCTCCGTCTGTTTACACCTCCTGTCTTCCGACCCTATGTTTCCCTATCCTTCTCCCTTCACCCTCTTTGTTCCTTCACCACTTGTATTTTTACTCACTACGTCATCCATCCACTTTCTATCCTGCCCAACCACTTGGGCAGGACGGAAGAGCAAGGGTCTTGATTCATTAAATGGAGGTCAGCATTTAATCCCCGACCGTCCAAGTGGTTAGGCACCGGTCCTTTCCCCCGTCCCATCCCAAATCCTTATCCTGATCCCTTCCAAGTGCAATACCGTCGTAATGGCTTGGCGCTTTCTCCTGATAGTTTCCCTTCCCACTCCCCATTCTCTACCTCGTTATTACCTTTACTCTTCCCTACCCCCTACCCTGTTTTCCTTCCACATTTCCCCCATTTCATCCCCCTCCATGTGATAGTCGCTCCGTCACCTTACCTCTCAACGTTCCAGGCACAGTCCCGTGGGTCCCTGCCAGGGAAGGTGAGTGGATGCAGCTGTATGGAGAAGGGGAAGAAGATCTGCATCACTCGGAAGTTTGTGACGTTCCTGATGAAGGCGTTGATGACGGGGTTCCAGAAGTCGTGGCTGAAGATGACCAGAGCCTCCTGGATGTCCCGAGTCTGCTGCAGGCTCCTCACAAGGTGTCGCAGGTTCTCCAGACGGTTGTGGACCTGTTGGGGGCACTTGTTTAATTTATTTGGTTATGTCATGCTGGAAAGATGTATACATACATGCGTGTGATGGTGTATACATACGTGTGACGATGACAACACTCTCTGTTGAGCGCACCCGACTCAATTTTCTGTTCCCCGGTAGAAGGCTGACACCTGTTCAGTTTCCATCTTATTATACAATTTTTACTTCTCAGAAGTAATGTGTGGGGTACATTGGTCGACGAGAGTCGGTTCACCCAAGGCAGTCTAGAATGCAAGACTTGCTCCAGTGGGAACAAGTGTGGGCTAAGTCGGTGGAGACAGCAAATTGTCTGAGTGGCCAACGAAGCATTAGTGATTGGACCGACGTATCCTGGGATTGCCCAGTTATGTTACTAGATGGAATTAACGTTCGTCTGTCCTCTAAGTTAGGGCTTGTTATAGGTAAAGCCTTTAGGAAAAGCCAACCAGCGTGTTGCTGGAGAGTCAAAGTGGTATTTTGTCACTGTCATGATACTGTGAAGGACTGGCCCGTGATTTACTTAGAAAGGTGGACTTACCGGTGTGAGTACCATAGAAGAAAAGCTCAGGGAAGGAACCTTGAGTGTTGTACGATACAAAATAGAAGTGGACTTGTCAGGATAGAATATCGCAGCTCTTTTGTAGTGTCCTGTGTAAAAGTGACTCCTGCGGTGTTATTCATAGTGTAAATACGTCATGAGTGAACAAAGTTAAGAAGTACAAGTGGTCATGGTTTTGTTTAGTGTTGTTTACCCCATTTCCGTTGGATTGATAATTACTACTCAGTTCTTAATAACTTACCTATGACTCGGGGTTGGATCTGGTAAGAAGAGACACTAAGGCCCGATAGAAAGTTTGATTTAAAAGAAATCGGTTACTGGCAAAGTGAGGCCATAACAATACGTATACATGTATATGTATAAATATGATGTATACATACATATACATACATACACACACACACACACACTCACACACATAATCGTACCAGTTGAGAAGTGGGACCAAAGAGCAAAAGCTCAACCCCTGCAAGCACATCTAGGTGAGTACATACACACTGAAATCTAAAAAATTTCAAATTCAAGATTTGAAATTTTGAATTTCGCAGCATAAATATTCTATAAGACCTGGCCAATTATCTAATGCACTATTTGTTCATTTGTCAGAAAATTCTCACCAAACTGATTGGGAGAGGTCTTCTTTAATAATTAATTATAAAAGCATTTTCAAAAGAAACATTATTGAATATGCTTTAATACAGATCAGACCATTTTAATACAGATCAGCATTTGGTCATCAGGAGACTCTAGGTGTCAGGAGAATGAGAAGAGGAAATAGTGATCGGTAATCACTATTACCGATCACGTCAACAGAAAATATGTTGTTGAATATGACCGAAAGGGTAAGATTAATGATTCAAACACGAATCTTCTCACTATTTCTTACGCTTTTCTTCATTGTCCAGCGTAGTTGAAAAATTAACTCTACAAAGTTCATTTTCACACTTTATTTATGGTCTGACGCCTAGAAGCATTTTGCAAGACATTTCTTACGTTTTCAAAGACAATTTTACATACTCTGATTCATGCTTATATTCTTTTTTGGGTGAGGTGATATGCTATAAATGTTTTCGGGTGAAGTGAAAGGACACGAATCAATGGATACATTGCATGTTTTCTCTTCATGCTTCTGTGTTGGTTCGGGGTCTTGAAGTGGGTAAAATGTAATTATGTGTTGATTGCTGGCATTGACTTTTTTATGTTTAGGGCCTTGCTGATGTCGAGTCTCCTGTTGTTACTGTATCTATCGATAATTTCTGTGTTGCTTGTTAAAATTTCTCTGGTGATGGTCTGGTTGTGAGAGATTATATGCTCTTTGATGGAATCCTGTTGTCTGTGCTATTTAATTGCCTAGAAAGAGACGTTGTTGTCTTGCCTATATACTGAGATCTTTGGGGCTGACAATCCCCAAGTGGGCATGTGAGGGCATATACGACGTTGATTTCTTTCAATGCGCTCTGTTTGGTGTCTGGACAGTTCTTCATTAGTAGGTTGGCCGTTTTCTTGTTATTGTAGTATATTATCAATTGTATCTTCTGATTTTTGTCTTTGGGGATAACGTTTCTATTAATAATGTTTTTCAGGACACTTTCCTCTGTTTTATGATCCATCAAAATGAAGTTCCTGTAAAACAGTCTAATAAAAGGTACAAGTGTAGTACTTGACTCTTCAGAGGTTGCATGGCATTTCACCTTTCTTTTAATTATGCCTTCAACATAACCATTAGAGAAGCCATTGTTGACTAGGACCTGCCTTACCCTACAGAGTTTTTTGTCGACCTGCTTCCAACCAGAGCTGTGAGTGAGAGCCCAGTCGACGTAAGTGTTGACAACATTTCTCTTGTACTGCTTGACCACATTTTTGTACAGTCAGTGTGGTCAAGCACTTAAGGAACCAGGTACGCCAAGGTGCACAGTGCTCCTGGGTGTCTGGGTTTGATTCCTTCTCACGTGAGGACACACGTGAGGAACACAAATGCGAACAAGCCTGAACGGTCTCCAGGCATATATGCAGCTGAAAACTCACACCCCATAAGTGACTCGAACCCATACTGTCAGAAGCAATGCATCTGATGTACAGGATCCCTTAACCACTCGACCAACACGACTGGACAAGCACTTAAGTCAAGTGCTTGTTCGCATTTGTGTTCCTCACGTGTGCCCCAAAGAATGAGGTGAATTAATAAAATACCATGCCCAAGATTTCCAACAGAGTGCCGGTGGGGGGATGGGGAATTAGCCTCGGCTACCATACTCTTTTGTCCGGTCGTGTTGGTCGAGTGGTTAACGGATGCCAACAGTGACTGCCCAGACAGGTACAAGAGGAGTGTTGTCAACGCATATGTCGACCGTGCTCTCAGCCACAGCTCAGGACGGAAGCAAGTCGACGAAGAACTATGTAGGGTAAGGCAGGTCCTAGTCAACAACGGCTTCTCCAATGGTTTCGTTGAAGACATCATAAGAAGGAAGGTGAAATGCCATGCAACCTCTGAAGAGTCAACTAACACAACACCTATACCCCCTATTAGACTATTTTACAGGAACTTCTTTTCCACAGCTCATAAAACGGAAGAAAGGGTCCTGAAAGATATTGTTGATAAGAACGTCATCGCTACAGACAAAAATCAGAAAATGCAATTGATAATTTATTATAAAACCGAAAAAACAGCTAATCTACTCATGAAAAACTCCTCAGACACCAAGCAGAACGCTTTGAAGGAAACCAACGTCTTCTATGCCTTGTAATGCGCACTTGGAGACTTTAAGCACCAAAGAACTCTGTATATAGGCAAGACAACAATGTCTTTTTCTAGGCGACTAACAATGCATAAGCAACAGGGCTCCATCAAGGAACATATAATCTCTTCCCACAACCAAACCATCACCAGAGAAGTCTTAACAAACAACACAGATAGATACAGCGCTAGCAGGCGGCTTAACACCTTCGAGGCACTACACATCAAAAAGTCAACACAAGCAATCAACAGCCAATAAATGCACAACTACATTCTACGCACTTCAAGACTCTGTACCAATATAGAAGCATCAAGAAGAAATATGGGCCAATAGGCCCTTTGCAGTTACTTCCATTCTTCCCTCTCATTTATCCAATTAATACCCAATGTTCTGTGTTCTTTCTTATGTTGGTCAAAAGTTTGTTCACTTCATCCAGAACTGTTGTAACATATTACCTCACCCAAATGCGAGTATATAAGACAAGCTGTTTAAGTGTTTAGCATAAGTAAAACTCTGTTTAGTGTTTTCAGGTTACAGTTTTCGTATCCTGGCCGGGGAGGATTTACTGGGCGCAATTCCTTAACTGTAGCCTCTGTTTAACGCAACAGTAAAATGTGTACTTGGATGAAAAAACGATTCTTCGCGGCTGGGATCGTATTCCAGGGACCTGCCCGAAACGCTACGCGTACTAGTGGCTGTACAAGAATGTAACAACTCTTGTATATATCTCAAAAAAAAAAAAAAAAAAAAAAAAAATTGTGTGTGTGTAAACTAAAGTCTTTGAAAATGAAATAAGTTATTACGAAACGCGTTCAAGCGTCGCCTCAGACTAGAAATAAAAATGAATTTTGGAGAATTGATTTTTCAATTACCATCGACAGTAAAAAGAAACATAAAAAATATATTGAGAAAATTCGTGTTAGAATTATTAATCTTACTTTTTCGGTCATATTTAACAACATATGTTTACAAGAAAGACTGCTACCAAATATATTTATATATATATATATATATATATATATATATATGTCGTACCTAATAGCCAGAACGCACTTCTCAGCCTACTATTCAAGGCCCGATTTGCCTAATAAGCCAAGTTTTCATGAATTAATGTTTTTTCGTCTACCTAACCTACCTAACCTAACCTAACCTAGCTTTTTTTGGCTACCTAACCTAACCTTACCTATAAATATAGGTTAGGTTAGGTAGGGTTGGTTAGGTTCGGTCATATATCTACGTTAATTTTAACTCCAATAAAAAAAAATTGACCTCATACATAGAGAAAAGGGTTGCTTTATCATTTCATAAGAAAAAAATTATAGTAAATATATTAATTCAGGAAAACTTGGCTTATTAGGCAAATCGGGCCTTGAATAGTAGGCTGAGAAGTGAGTTCTGGCTACTAGGTACGACATATATATATATATATATATATATATATATATATATATATATATATATATATATATATATATATATATATATATATATATAAATATATATATATATATATATATATATATATATATATATATATATATATATATATATATATATATATATATAAATATATATATATATATATATATATATATATATATATATATATATATATATATATATATATATATATATATATGTCGTACCTAGTAGCCAGAACGCACTTCTCAGCCTAATATGCAAGGCCCGATTTGCCTAATAA